TTATGATTTCATCTAAAAAAATTATACATTTTGATAAATAAACAAATTTTGAATGTTTGATAATGAAGAAGTTTTGAATTTTTGTCCAGAAAAAAAATTTGAATTGGGAATTTTCAAATGAAAATTATTTTTTGCATTCTGATAGTATATATCAGCCAACAGTAAAGTCATTATGTGAAATTTGCAATGCAAATTCTGCCAGAAGAGCAAAAGAATTTGCTTAAAAGAAGAGCATAAATAACCTCGAAAAGGTGCTTATCGCCATTACGCTTTTGGCGAAGCAGTCGAAGGGGTCGTACTGTGCTCGATTCGTTCAGCAGTTTTCAACGGTTAGATATGGCGTTCAACAATCAGGGCTTTGGTACTGCCGGACAGAATTTCGCAAGTGGATTCACACAACAACAAGGATTCGGAGGTCAGGCGGGTAATTCCACCAGTCAAACTGGGTTTGGCTTTGGACAACAGGCCGGATTCGGAAACCAGAATGGATTCGGTTTTGGGCAAGCTGGTTTCGGACAGGGTGGTTTTGGTAACCAGGCCGGCTTCGGAGCTCAAGGTGGTTTTGGACAAACCGGTTTTGGGCAAGGTAACTTTGGTAACCAGACCGGCTTCGGACAAAGTGGTTTCGGTCAAACCGGTTTTGGACAGGGTGGCTTCGGTGGTTTCGGCGCCCAATCGGCTGCTTTCAATCAAGGTTTCGGTGGGCAGTTCGGACAGGCTGGCTTCGGACAGGCTGGCTTCGGACAGGCTGGCTTCGGACAGGCTGGCTTCGGGCAGGCAGGTTTCGGGCAGGCATCTGGTTTCGCAGGTTTTGAGAACGGCAATAACTTCAACAACCGGAACAACAATTTCTCATCTTTTGCGAATGCTAACCGCTCGGTTATTTTTTGATCATTCACAGTTTCGAATATTTTCACGCTGATTTACAAACATATGATTTGGATATTTTACAATATGGCAAGAAAGTTCTAAGTATTTAAGTAATTTCAGAACTGAGCTGTAACCAACGGCATGCAATCAACAGTGACAAATTCGTCAGTGATATAATATTCTGTGTTTGACATGCGTCTTTGATATCTTAATCCTCTGCTTAATTAAGT